TCATGTCTACATGCACACACACACCCTGGCACCCAACCAGTTTCCTCTCTCAGAAAGCTCTGTCCAAACAAGCACGACATCACCCGCTGGTATCTCCTCCAGCTCGCTCCACTCTCTCTTACTCCTTGTCTCCCACTTTCTCTGTTTCTGCCCGCCGCGACTTAGTTTTCCTCTTTCTTTCTATCCACTCTTGCCTTTATTGTGCCATTTTCTGCCACTTTGGTCCAAGAAAGGGAGGCCGTAATGCAATCTCTCCCCCTCTCCGTCCCCTGCTGTGAGGGAGAGAAGCTTGGCCTGTGTGCTGGGCCGGGGAGAAGGGGGAGAGACGGGGTCAAGGTGAGCTCTAATACACTATTGATCCGCCCCAATTGAAAACCTGATGGAAATTTTACCCCCACCCTTCCCCTCCATTCCTCCTCATCCTTCCCCTGCACCCCTCTCTCTCTCTCGCTCTGTTTTTCTCCCCCCTCCTTTCGTCTACCGCCCCCCTCTCCCTTCCTATCTCCCACTCTTCTCTTCCCTTATGTCTTCTTTCCTTCCCTGTGTGTATCCTCCCTGGTGTCTAGAGTCTTCCTCTTTTTCAGTGTCTATCGCCGTTCACTCCAATCTGTTTTCTCTCCCCGCTGAATGTCTCTTTCAACCACTGACCACTTTCTCTCCTTTCTACCTCCGTGCCGGGCAGCACTCTGTTTCCATGTCTTTTAAACCGTGCCTCTAATCATTTCCTCTCCTCTCTTCTCCTCCTTTTGGTCTCGCCATCTCCCCTCTTTCAAGCCCATTCCTCTCTTTCTTTAAATCCCTCGCTACCCCAACCCTGCCTGCTGTTTCTGTCTCTCTCACTCATTTTTTCCTCATCCCCCTCTCTGAGTGTGCATCAGATGGTCCATTTCTCTCTAACCCAGTGCATATTGATCCCTATGGCAGTAGCATGCAGTGTGAGGGCTGTGAAGACCACTGCTACAGTGTATTAAACGCCACAAACGCTTTGGACGTGGGGCCCGAGACACGCCTCCCCGGCAGGGCCCCGTCAATAGCTGCTCCCTCCTGTCAACAGCAGCCAAATGGCCTCTCAATCTGGGACTTGTGATGGGCTACAGATTGGTACGCAGAAACTGCAATGGATGCGCCACAGAAAAATAGACAGAGTCTTGATGGGAGAGAAAAGCCACGACAAAAAAAATGAAATAAAATAAGATGTGCGTACGGTAGTTTTCCCTATAATGGTGAGCTTCTTTTGAAAAAAACATGTATTCAGCATTGATGTAAGTGAATGAAATCATGTAAAATCCTTTCCAATCAGATGCCTAACATTTTGCACGAACAAAATCTATGACCTCAGCTTTTAATTTGCTCCATTCTTTGCCTTAACAAGGCTTCATAATAACACACTCTTGTCCCGCAGTTATGTGGAACGGCAATTATGGACGCAGTCGAGTGTGCTACACACTGTTCAAGCACATCAAACAAAAGAGGCACAAACACGGGGAAGGCCACAACAACAGAGATGGCAGACACAGAAGTAAACCTTTCACAGCTCCCCATTACTTTCCCACTTAACAAGACTGACCACAACCTCTCCCTCTCTCCCTGAGTCTATGCAGAGTTTGCTGCTATCACCGCGCCGTTTGAGTGGGAGATAAATGGAGTGAGTGCGTGCATGTGTGTGTTTGATTTATGTACTGTTGTGTACGTGTCAGACGGCCGAGCTATCGGGACCACCATCTCCCAATAGACATAGAACTGCTACAGCAGTGGAGGGACCCCTCTGTCGACCCCGAGACCTGCGATACACATCTGGAACAACAGAGCACACCGAGCGGGGATTGGAGGGGTTTGTTTGAGGAAGAGGAGATGGAGGAGGAGGAGGAGGGGAGCTACCTTCATTGCTTCTGAGCTTTTTTCCATTTTCATTCAAAGGAGATTCGCCTTCACTTTGTCCCTCACTCTCTTTTTTTTCCTCCTCTCTGCCCTTCTCTGTTTCGCGTCGACGAGAGGGAAGCGGCCTCTGTGCCTTCACCTTAAACTCAACTTTACAACTTGGGTCCGCTCTCGGAGGAATAGTCTCACTGGTAGCAGAGCTCCGACATGCAGACTGGAGGTCCTGGTTGGTTGCTTTCACATTAACAGTGTCAGAAGTTACTTCTGTGTGATCCTGATCTCCCGGGAAACGTCTTTTATTCAAAGGATACCAGTTTGTTAGAAAAACACAAACAAAACCGTGTGTGTGCAACCATTTCAAGAAATATACATATTGTTTTAACCTCTCACCTTATCTTCTCTTTGACCGTCAACCGTTTCACACGTAGGTTGACTTATTTTAAGTCATATCTTGTGCATGTAATAAAAGATGACAAATGTGTAAAACTACAGCATCTCTAGTTTGAAATAGGTCCTCATGTTTTCCGTATATATTTCCTTGCTTCCATTATTTGTCCACTAACCGGCATTCAGAGGTCAGACACCTGTTTTATTTTCCCACTTTTCTCTTTCAATCACTCTTTTCTTCTCTCCCTTGCTGTCTCCTCTCTTTCTCCCCCCTCTCTTCAGCCTCTCCATCTATTTCTTTCTCTCTAGGAAGGAATCAGTCTCACCTTAATTGCTCTTAAATCGGATTAATGACTGACCGGGGACAACTTGACTTAATCTCTCTTCTAGTAAATCTCTTCCTCTCCGCTTTTCTCATACATCACTCCTAAACATTTTATCCTCTCTTGCTCCCTTTAGCTTTTGTGTCCTCTCTTTTTTCGGTCCTCGGCCCTTTCTCCCGGCTCGCTCTCTTTCACCTCCTCCTTCCTTCATTTCATCTCCGTCCTTCTTTCTCCTCTCTCCGTCACTCTCTCCGCGAGTCAATCATTCTTTCATCTTTTTGGACGCACTCTGTCATGCTTCGGCTCTGCTCGTCATCCGGGTCCCTTCATCATTTTTCCCCTTTTCTTTTCGCACTCTTTCGACAACTTTCTATCATCCTTTAACTTCATCATATTGAGATTTTGCCAAAACCTCTTTGACTTGGCTGTCACTCTGTCTCTCCGTTCCCCACTCTGTCTCACTCTCTCTCTCTCTGAGTTGTTGTCTCTCTACAAGGTTGGCCAGTCGCAGGGGTGTTGTGTATGTGTTAGAGCACGTCGATGTGGTCCTGTCATTGCCTCCTAAGTGCTTTGGCAATACTAGGGATCTGCTGTCATGCCAGTGCAACTAATCTCAATCGAATTACACTGAACTTGTATTGAGATGGAGATAAAGGACACGAGTGTCTGTCTGTGATTGCTCAAGCAGCTCCCTCACACCCATGTGAAAAAAAAGCACACGTACGTAAAGCGCACATGGCCGCACACACATTCAAGAAATCAGTTTGGGTTGAAAATGAGACCATTTTGATCATGAACCCAAATGACAATAATGACAATAAAACCACAACAATAAATAAAACATGCATTACAGTTCAATACAAAACAACTGCCGCCATGTCAGTCTGGGGTGATCCTTGTTAAAGATATAAGGGCAAAGAAATTGTGCCACCTTCCAAACCCGTGCAGTTCAAAAAAAAAAAAAAGAACTGAGAGAAAAAAGCGGCCAGCCTTCTGGACAAAAGCTCATTTTCCTCTTGGTTGCACACTGCTGCAGGCTGGCTAACGTGCCACAGGAGAATTCAACCACTCATACACCTTTGTTTTCCTCGGGTTTTTCTCAACTTTACACACAGCAGCAGAGCCATAACTGAGAGTGAACCAGGATTTCTATGTCAACCCAGAAGGCATGTGCTTGTGCATGGCTTGTCGAGCCTGGGGCGAATTCGATGATCTGAGAGCCATGAAGTCGTCCCTTTTCTCTTATTGTGACAGTGAAAGGGGGAATCTGTCATTTCCAAATGCGGGCACATTTGTTCACCTTCCAGTTGTGCTTTGAGCCACTTCCACGTCTTTCTCCCATTTCTCTCTCCACTCGCCAACTCCTTCCAAAGACCCCCTCCACCTCCCAGCCCCTTTGCATGTCCACCTTAGCACGCTGCTTCACACTCCTGTATCTGTCCTCACTCTCTCTCACTCTCTCACAGTGCAGTCAGGATTAAGCATTTATCTCGGTGGTCCTCCTCTTGGCCCTAAACGCCCGTGAGGATGATAAGAGTCGCTGGGATTTGTCAAATTGTGCGCCATTGATTAACTGACCTTTCACGCCTGCAAGTCTCTCAGCCACTCCACTAACTGCCGACAGGCAGATAGAGAGATAGATGGATACATCTGGCTGTTATTATTGTGTACAACTTTGTAGTTACCAGGTGTGGCAGCGAGAGACGACAGGGGTATGAGGGGGGAGGGGGGGCTTGGAGATGGGGAGAAAGATACAGAGGAGTCCTTCAATTGCCCTATAGGCTTGGAGTGTAACAGGTAGAAGTGTGTCTACAACCAAACAGTATTGCGAGTTGAATAATGAATAATGAATAATGAAACAGATTTTAAGGTGCGCTGAGGGGCTAATATCAGACAGGAAGGATTAGGAGGGAGCAGAGGAGCCGGAGGAAGCATGGACACTTTGACTATTCACAGGCAGGTCTGTGCTGCTTCACCGCAGACCACAAAGGGGGGGGGGGGGGGGGTATCCAAAAAGGACAAAAACAAACCTGAATCCGAAGCATTTGACCGAGAATATCTGCAGCACTGTTCAATTTTTAAAGCTATTATATCACAATCAACATGTCTTTGTTCATATCAGTTTGAGAGAGAGTCTCACATATTTCATATTGAGCAGTAATAAATACATTACATTGCATCTGCAAGTGTCACAATTGTTTTATCTCCACATGGACAGGCTTGTGGTCTTCAATTTTAAATCAACCATACATGACTTCCTCCCATTGAAAAAAAACATCCTGACCTCAAGTGACTTCGCCATGGTTTTAAAAGACAAATGAAGGCACGTGTAAAAGAAAAAGAAAAAAAACAGTGAGGAAAGCAAAAAGGAGACAGATATTAGCAGGCAGGTTGAGGAGGAAGTTCACCCACCTGGACTTCCGCGTCAGCCCGCCTCAGAGATGCACCTGAGGCCGAAGCCCGATCGCCGTCTCTCGGACCGGAGTGGAGCTTGTTCGCCGCTGCGCGTGTTGTTCCGACCCGGGAGGAAGGAGACGAGAGAAAGTGCCGCTATTGCACTGCACGAAGGTGTCACTAAAAAAAACAAAAAACAGATTTGAAATTAATATGATCATTATGGACACACAAAAGACGAGTCCGTGGGACCCGGTGACGCGTCGGTCCCGCTGAGGAGCCGATCCTGGGGCTGGAGTTGTGCCGTTTCTTTCCCCCGCAGGACCGCTGCTGACACATTGACCACAGATCGATCACCTTATTTACTCTTTGCAGTGATACAGTAACGGAGACAGTGAGAGGGAGGAGAAGTCCGACCAGGATGACGAAATATCATAAAACCCCTCGAATGACTTAACTTGTGCGTCTTTTGCGAACTTATTAATCACTTTATCGCACTTAGTGTATAGTCATTCCTTGAGTTGATGTCTCTACAATATACAAACACAATGCTCAGAGTGATTTATAATCTTGCTGTTTTATATTGAAGTCTTCAGCATATACGAGGTTATAGGTTTTTTTTTACGCGCAGGGAGCGTCGGGGTTTATCTGCACACAGCGCGGGTAGAGGCCCTGAATGCAGCTCTGCGAGAGGCTCTGCTGTCTTGTTATCGATATAGGAGAAGCTTGCTGGAAAGGATATTGACCGCACTAACTAGCCGCACTTTGATCATACGAAATTGCTTTCCAGATGACAACACATTAAGGATGAGAGCATTTAAAAAAAAATCAAAAATCAAAACCCACCTCTCGAACCAGTCAGACGTTTCTCTTCCGAATGAGATGGAGATGAGGAGAGGTGAGAGCCCCCATAAGTCGACTGCCTTAATGAATAAAAGAAAACCGATAGTCCATTTCCAAAAAGAGGAAAGGAATCCAAAAACAAAGAAAGAGAAAGGTATTAGGAAGGGAGGTTACATTCAAAATCTTAATTCCTCACCTCACATAACTCGGAAAGTTTGATTCGAGGCATTTATTGGACCTAAAAAAATCGGATAACATCGACGAAATAGGAAACTATTGTACGAAAAATAATGAGGTATTTCAAAAAATAAAGCAAAAAATAGATACACGGATAAAAAAAGAAACAGCAATATTCATAATATATTTTTGTGTAAGTGACGGCGAGTGAATAATAAGTGAACGGCAGTGAATTAGAAAAGCATTTTTGATTCTGAAAGGTGAAATCAAAAGCATTAATCGGAGCAAATTGAGTTGCAAAACAATTATGAATATAATATCAAGTGGAACATGTGGTTACAAGTTTAAACCAGGATGCTTTGAGAAATAAACTATTGATTCGAGATCATTTGTTTGATATAATAATAACAACAACAATATTAACAATAATAATAACATATTAATAATACTTTGAAACGAAATAAGTAGTAGTATGCTGTTTGTTGTATGAGAGCAAGTCTACATAATGCAACCGATTATTATTATGATTTTGTTATTATTATTAGCCCTGTAAATAAATGGAGCAGAGAAATCAGTGGCTGCAGAGGTGTTTATAATATCTGCCTGCACAGTGTGTGCTAAATAGCAGCAGCGTTAAAGCGCTGATATTATAACAAATGTATCTGGACGGGTTAACGAGTTCAAAGGCAGCCGTGCAGAGGTGAAGGATGAAGGGAGGGAGGGCGAGTGACGTGCGGAGAAATTTCCCCAAATGCCATTTAAAGTCGGAAATATTTCCACCATGTATTGACAGCAAAGAGACGGGTGAGACGGCCATCGAGAAGCGGCACAAAACCAGGGGAAATAATCCAATTAAAACGGCCTGAGCTCAAAGACGAGACTGGAGAAGAGGGGTTCAACACGTTGGCCTGAAACTTCACACACAGGAAACAAACTGTTTCCAACATGCGGAAGCAGAGAGAGAAGATGTCTGATAAAGTTAGCCTACAAGAAGCCAAAACGACTTTTAATGATGCCGGAAAAAAAGCTATAAATTATAAATATTAGGCTGTATTTCAGTATTATTTTATTTATTCTCTGTACTTATTTTAAACAAATACATCCAGAATCGATAGAAAACATTATTTTATAATTAATGTTATTGCTATTTTTTATTATTATTAATGTATTTGTTATTAACTGTAAATTAAACAAATTAACCTTACGCTTTCTTCTCTTGTTTTCTGTCCGAAACACACGCACACGCAAAACGTTGTTGAGGCAGGCTGATGTGTAAAGTTAGATGTGAACAATTGACGCCAGAAAAACAACATTGGTTGGGTTTAGGGGGAATCCATTGATCGATCTCTTAATCTCCAATAGTTACATGCATGTATTGATTTACAAACACTGTTTATCTGGAAATATACTGGCCCAAATAATTGATGGAGTACACCCACGGCGCACATAAATATGCATCCAAGTGGTAAGGGGGTAAACAACTAAAAAGAAGAAGAAAAATAAATCTGAGGAGCAACCACAGATTATTATTCCAAATATATTTTTTTTCCAAGTTTGGCTCCGCACTGTATCGATGCGCCCACTTCTGAAACAAACTCCCATGCGAGTCTGAAAACACACATACAAATCATCGGCTTCACCCCAGTTAGAGTAAACTTCGGCATTTTCCTTTGGTGAACACATTGGCAGACAGTCTAAGAGCTGGAGCTGCTTGGTTGGTTATTAGTATTATTATTTATTTTTTTGGAGGGGGTGAGGTTCTTGTGTAGAATTGGGAATATAAACTTAAAAAATAAAAATGTTGGTCGGCCTATATATGGCTTAGAAATTATTTGAAAGGCAGGAGGGTGAACTTGAGATGTCGAGAAACTAGAACAAACAATCGATTGATTGATTAATTAATTCATTAATTTAAAAAATAACAAACCAAAATGTCAGCAGGTGCAATTACATCATAAATCTGAGGACAGAGCACAAGCAGCACGACACAAAAAACAAAATAGCTCTCTCACTCACTCACACACACACACACACACACACACACACACACACACACACACACACACACACACACACACACACACACACACACACACACACACACACACACACACACACACACACACACACACACACACACACACACACACACACACTTTCTAAAATATTTAGAAAGGTAGATTAAACGGGATCCCTCTCACTCTCTCACACACAGAGCGAGAGAGAGGTAGACCAGTGAGAGAGAGAGAGGGAGAGAGAGGGGGAGAGAGAGATGCACCGGCTGAGGTCTCGTGCAGCTCGCCGTGTGTGAGTGGCTGTTTAATTGACTGATTGATACGGCGGTGTGGAGGTGAGGGCTGGACGCTTTAACAAATAGAGACACTTAAAGGCTAATCCGGGCCAACGCCGACAGCTGAAGTGCTTCGGTGTAGCCGATTCTTTCACAACTGCACATGTATACGCCAAAGCCAGGATATGTATTCCCCTCTCATACTGTGTGTGCGAGCGTTTGCAAAAGACTTGAACTTGCGCAAAGTTCCCGAAATATAAGAGGAGAGCTAAAAACAAAACAAAAAGCAAGCTTCCAAATAATAGCAGCGAGACGAGGCTGCGTAAATTACGCACGGCTCAACTTTTTGTTGGTCAGGTTACACTGCAATCCTCAACGTGACAGTAATGCAGGCCAAACAATCGTTCTAGTAATAGCAACATTATTACAATAACAAACAATAATATCGCCAGCACAAATATATCATGCCACATTTTAAACACACTCGCTCGTGCACAACCACAACTTTTTTTTTTCTCGTGAAAAAAACACAACTGAATCCCCCCTTCTCCAAAAAAAGACAATTATTACATGTAATAAAACATACGGACAACATACCTCCGGTTTCTATTTTCAGGAAGTGCAGTTAAAGCTTTCACCAGCTGAAGTGCGACCAGTCTATCCACACGCATTCACTCTGACGGCGCAGCGAGCAAGCGACCGGAGAGGCAGCACTACAACCAACCTGAACCCGGGGAGGAGAGCAGAGGGAGGGAGGGGGGGAGGGGGGAGGAGGTAGGAGAGGAGGTGTTGGTCTCTTTCTTTCGCTCTCTCTCTCTCTCACCCTGTGTGTGTGTGTGTGTGTGTGTGTGTGTGTGTGTGTGTGTGTGTGTGCGCGTGCGTGTGTAAGTAGTTAATTAGTAAATCCCCATTCGCTGTGCCTCGGGTCGGTTTGTTTTCCCCGGTCGACAAGCCGAGAGGAAAGAGAATTTGAAGTAGGATTCGACCCGTTTCCGCTGCTGTGTCTCATATATGAGGATTGTGTGTGTGAGAGAGAGAGAGCGAGAGAGAGTGTGTGAGTGTGTGTGTGTGTGTGTGTGTGTGTGTGTGTGTGTGTGTGTTTTAGGGCTCTCTTTGCCACCACCATGAAGCCTCTCCATCTCCTCTCCTGGTCACCAAGGAGTCACCAACATGTTGACCCCAAAAGTTGCTCAACATGGATCAAGGAGCAATTCCCCAATGAGACAAAGGAAGTGGTCACAGGAAGGAGTTGCTAGTGCCAGAGCAACTGAGGTTCATTTTTCCTGACCGTGTTGACAGAAAACTTCCACCTCAACCCAAAGGCGGATTTAAATCGGAAACCAGAGGAATCACTGAGATTTCTTCACTTTAATGCCACTGGTCACAACAAAATCATCTTTTTCTTCCATGAATATAAAGGAAATCTAAAACACCACTCACGAAAGGTCGAGCTCTACCTGTCACTCTGGCTTTAGTAGACTAAGAAGAAATTCACTGTTGTGTCAATATTTTCCCTGCTATCCCTGCAGCAAAATGCACATTACGATGAAACACATTATCTGTCTTCAACTCAATAGCATCACTTCTATCAACTCATCATCACTTCTATGCATGAATGAACTCTCTCTCTCTCTCTCACACACACACACAGCGGAGAAGAGCATGCCCTGGCTCCTGTGCCAGTAAATCGACCTTGCCCTTAACAAACTTTAATTATTTAATTGATCCCCAATCAGCAACTTAATAATCAATTAGGTAAACCTATGGAGCTCACTTAGGTGCAGAGAGCCGGACTCGATGACAAGGGAATCAAAAAAGGAAAGGAGAGAAGAGGTGAAGGGATAGTGGGATGGGGAAAATGGGACTGAAGTTGCAAGGAAGAACAGGACGCTGTGTTGTCTGGGTGTCTAGCTGAAGTAACTGTGATTTATAATGACTCTGACAGTGGAATCAGGTGAAATTCTTGCACTGATAACATGCTATGCACCCACTACTAAAGAGGGTAGGGGTCATATCAGCACTGACCAGGTGCTGGAGGTAAAAAGCAGCTTCGGGAGGCGATCGTTTTTTGGTATCTCTTGTTTTAGTCTTGAGCAGCAGGAATAACGTGCGGGTAAGAAGTATTATATGTTATATATTTATAATGGGTTGACTGGAAGTAGAGTTTAAATGATTAGTCAAGTAATCAATTAATCAGAAAATCAATTAGCAACTATTTTGATCATAGATTGTTTTTGTTTAACTTGTTAATGCCACAGTCACTGGTTGCAGCGACTGTGGCTCAGTGGTGGCACCTTGTCTATGAATGGGTGTGAATGGGTGAATGATGACATGCAGTGTTAAAGCGCTTCGAGTGGTAGGAAGACTAGAAAAGCGCTATAAAAGTACAAGTCCATTTATCATTGGATCTGCTTTTTTTCTGTTTTAATATCATTGTAAATTGATTATCTTTGAGGTTTGGATGGTTTCTGGAAGACATCACCGTGGGCATTCTTCACTTTTTACATTTTATAAACCAAATTGTTCAATCAATAAATCAAGGAAACAATCAGCAGGTTGATCAATGACAAAAAATAATCATTAATTGCAAACCTAATTGAATAAAAAAAAAGAAGGGAAATTGACTCTTCAGTCCATTGCACGGCTCATGTGTTTGAATCTGTCCTTCTTTTTGAAAATAAAAAAATGGTACTCTAAACAGTTGGAAGCCAAAAAAACGTTGAATGTATGGAGCAATATTGGTAGAACATGGCCATGGCCACAGCCATACACATACATCACCACACACTCAGACCCAAAACATGCACCTCTTTATCGCCCTCTAGTGTCGACTGCTGATCTCAGCCTTCACTGCTTGTTAACCGCTGCACCCCACACTTTCTCAAATCTTTTCCCCGGATTTTTGGGTTGACATCTACACAAAGCTGCACTGAGTGTAGCTTTGTGTATTTGTTTGTGAGTATGGCTATTTATTTTTTTACTGTACGTCAAGCTTGAGTGTGTGTCGGGAGTATCAGACGCTTACACACTCAGCAGATGAAAGCTTTGCCAATACTGCGAGTCCCCTGAGGGTCATGGCAATATTGATGTGACCACTAGTGCGCGTGTGTGTGTGTGTGTGTGTGTGTGTGTGTGTGTGTGTGCGTGTGTGTGTGTGTGTGTGCGCGCGTGCTGCCGATGCATAACAGTATTTGCACATGTATGCAGTGTCTGTTGCATTTGTGCATGTCACCTCTAAAATCCAAAAGGGCAAAAGCAGAAGCAGACACACTGAAACGTGCCAGCAACCTCTAACAACTGATCTCAGACCAGCGCAGTCAAACATCCACAGCGGGAGTGTTTTTTTCTTCCCCGCTGATCCCTGCTCAGCAGCTGGAGCGTCTGTGCCTCTGACACCTGGGAGGTATATGTGATAGAGTGGGGAGGCGCTGGAAGACGATGAATAACTGACCTATCACATCCCCATTGACTGAGTTAATTAATATAAGTGGAGCAGGGGATTCTTAGCTCACTTTTCACTGTATGGATTTGCTGTCTCCTTACATTTGGTATGTTTTATGTCTATTCAATGCAAATCCAATGTGTTCTGTCCCGCAGCCCGATCATGACAGCTAATTTTGGTATTCGAGCTGTTCTGATAGGGAGGATTTTAATTGTGGCCCAACACAGCTTGGCTGTGACTGATTGATATAAAATCTCATGTGAATGGATGTCAAATTGCAGCAGAGTGAATCGGTAAAAGGCTCACATTCCGTGCGTTGTATTTCCGCTTGAGGCTTCTACTTGTTGTCAGTCTTCATGCATCTTTTAGATTTGATGACGCTAAAATGTAATGTTTTAAGAGAATAGTCTTGTCGGCGCAGAAATTAGGAGAGGGAAGCAGTGAGAGCAAGAGAGGAGGGACAGGGAGGCAGGACAAGGAAATCCTCATAGACTCTTTTAGACTCTCTTATACATGCAAACACTCTTTCTTCTTCTTTGAGGGTGTGAAAGACAAGAGAGAGGGAGCATGGGAGGGGGGTGGTGGGGGTGAGATGACACAAGCAGGACAGACAGGAAGACAGGCAGAAGAAGATGGGAAATGGAGAGAAAACGAGGGGAAAGAGAACAAGAAAGAGCTCCACTGCCTAGTCTTAATCTGAGCTGTTCTGATCAATAGCCCATTTCCCATTGTTGCCAGAGCTGTTCGATCGCTACACCACGGAATTAACACACCCACTTTAATCTAGGGGGAGAGGAGCGAGGGGAGGGGGGGAGAGGGAGGGGAAGAAGGGGGTTAAGGGGGTGAGTGGGGAGCAGCTGTGGAGGCATTCTCAAATGAAATCAAATCTAATTGTTATCACTGTAGCCGCTGCACTTATTACTACCACTGTTACAATTATCCACCCACTATATAGCTCTCCTTTCTCCCTCCCATACCTTGCATCATGTGGTGTAAACTGGACGTAAATAATCTGAATTAGTGTTTATTTGTTTCATTTTGCTGGCTGTAGATTGGATTGGGTTGGGAGGTTGAGGGAGGGGGGGGGGGGTTTGGCTCATTCCTCTGTGACTGAGGAAGGGGTTTGTGGTCAGGTATATTGTGCCGGATACACTAACATCTGGGGTGTCTCAATTCAGCCCAGCTGCTGCGAGACTGTTTCAGCGAGGTTTCACGAGATAATGCTGTTATGTTACGAGAATGTGTTCACTATCGTTGCGAAACCTTATTAAATGTAGGAGGGTTTGTTCTGGGGGCAACAATCAGCCATTTTATTTCTGCCAGTCATCTCAAATCAAGTGTTTTTTTCATGTCGTAGAAAAGTCGTTTCACATAAATTACAAATATATATATATATATATATATATATATATATATATATATATATATA